AGCGCCGCGCAGTCGGAGGGTCAGTACTGAGGGAGTGCCGCACTGTCAGAGGGTCAGTACTGAGGGAGTGCCGCACTGTCGGAGGGTGAGGGGAGTGAATCTGAGAGGCTGTGTTGGGGGAGCTGGATGCTGAGCCTCTCTGCGTTAGTGTGAGGTTTGATTGGGATGGGTCACTGTGCGACATTGTGACTCTGTGATATGGGATCACTGTTCCTCAGCCTCTGCCACACTGGATGGCAATAGTCTGAGCAGGATGTGAATACATAAGGTGGACCATAACATAAAGGAGCACAATTAGGCCATTCAGCCTGTCAGGTCTGCTTTGCCATTCGATCATGGCTGATGTGTTTCTTAACCCCATTCTCTTGCCTTCTCCCCATAACCTTTGATCCCCTTGCTGATTAAGAACCTACCTATCTCTGTCTTAAATACACTCAATAACCTGGTCTCCACAGCCCTCTGCAGCAATGAGTTCCACAGATTAATCATCCTCTGGCTGAAGAAATTCCATCTCATCTCAGTTCTAAAGGATCGTCCTTTCATTCTGAGGCTGTGCCCTCAGGTCCTAGTCTCTTCTACTTGTGGAAACAGCTTCTCCAGGCCCTTCAGTATTCTGTAAGTTTCAATCAGATTTTGCCTCACCTTTCTAAACTCCATTGAGTACGGACCCTGAGTCCTCACCCACACCTCACAAGACATGCCCTTCATCCCCAAGATCATTCTTGTAAACCTCCTCTGAACCCCCTTCGTTGTCAGCACATCCTTCTTTAGACTCGGGGCCCAAAACTGCTCACAATATTCAAAATGTGGTCTGACCACCACCTTATACAGCCTCAGCAGTACATCCCTGCTTTTTATTCTAGCCCAATTGAAATGAATGCTAACATTGCATTTGCCTTCTTGACCACTACCTGAACCTGTATGTTAACCTTCAGGGAATCCTGAACTCGGACTCCCAAGTCCCTTTGTGCTTTAGATTTCTGAGGCCTTTCCCCATTTAGAAAATAGTCTATGCCTCCACCTACTAAAGTGTGTAACCTCCCACTTTCCCACATTGTATTCCATCTGCTACTTCTTTATCCACTCTCCTAACCTGTCCAAGTCCTTCTGCAGCCTCCCCACTTCCTCAACACTATCCTGTCCTTCCACCTATCTTTGTGTCATCTGCAAATTTAACAACAATGGCCTCAGTTCCCTCATCCAGATTGTTAATGTGTAGCGTGAATAGTTGAGGTCCCAACACCAATCCCTGCAGAACTCCACTAGTCACTGGCTGCCATCCTGGAAAAGATCCCGTTATCCCTACTCTCTGCCTTCTGCCAGTCTGCCAATCCTCTATCCATGCCAGTACCTTGTCCCTAACACCATGGCCTCTTATTTAGCAGCCTCCTGTGAGGCAACTTATCAGAGTTCTTCTAAAAATCACATCCACTGTCACCCCTTTGACTAACCTGCTTGTTACCTCCTCAAAGAATTCTAACAGATTTGTCAGGCATGACCTCCCCTTGATGAAGCCGTGCTAACACAGACCTATTTTCCCACGCACTTCCAAGTACTCTACAATCTCAACCACGATAATGGGCTCTAAAGTCTTACCAACGACCCAGATCAGGCTAACCAGGCTATAATTTCCCGTCTTCTGCCTCCCTCCCTTCTTAAACAGGGGTGTTACATTAGCCATTCTCCAGTCCTCTGGGACCCTTCCTGACTCCAGTTATTCCTGAAAGATCACCAACAATGCCTCTACAATCTCCTCAGCGATCTCCTTCAGAACTCTGGGATGTAGTCCATCTGGTCCAGGAGGTTTATTCACCTTCAGACCTTACAGCTTCCCCAGCAGCTTCTCCTCAGTGATAGCTACTACACTCACCCCTGTCCCCTGACCCTGTTGAATTTCTGATGTACAGCTGGTGTCTCCCACTGTGAAAACTGACACAAAATACTGATTCAGTTCCTCTGCCATTTCTTTGTTCCCCATTACTACTTCTCCAGCCTCATTTTCCAGTGTCCCAGTGGGCACAATTACCTCTCTCTTGCCTTTTAGATATCTAAAAAAAAACTCATATAAGATCTTCTTTCATATTATTAACTAACTTACTCTCATATTTCATCTAGTCCCGCCACACCGCTCCCCCCCCCCCCCCCCCCCCCTGGCCCCCCACCCTTATTGCTATTTTAGTTATTCCCCTGCTGGTTTTTAAAGGCTTCTCAATCCACTGGCTTCCCACTAATCTTCACCACATTGTCTGCTTTGTCTTTTGCTTTTATGCTGTCCCTGACTTCCCTTGTCAGCCACGGTTGCCTCATCCTCCCCTTAGTCTGTTTCTTCTTCCTTGGGATGAATTACTGCTGTGTCTCCTGAATTACCCCCAGAAACTCCTGCCATTGCTGCTCTACCATCTTCCCATCTCCCCTTCCAATCAACTCCAGCCTGCTTTTCCCTTGTGTCTCTTTGTAGTTACCTTTACTTAATTGTAATACTGTCACATCTGATTCAATATTCTCCCTCTCAAACATATTATGGTCACTGATCCCTAGGAGTTCCTTCACCCTCAGCCCCCTAACCCAGTCTGCCTCATTACACATCACCAAACCCAGAATTGCCTGTTCCCGAGTGGGCTCTACCACAGACTGCTCCAAAAAAAAATCTTGTACACACTTCGACAATTTATCTGACACCTGTGACCGACCTGATTTTCCCTGTCCTCCTGCATAATGAAGTAATAGTGTCTTTCTTATTTGCCTTTTCTATCTCCTGATTTATTTCCTTCCCTACATCCTGACTACTGCCAGGAGGGCTGTACACAACTTCCATTTTTCCCTTTGCAATTCCTAAACTCTACCCACACCGATCCTCTGCTTTTCAACCCTGTATCATTTCTTGCTACAATTTAATTTCATTTCTGCATCGATGCTAGCAAAATTAAAAATCTGGTCATAGACTTCAGGAAGTGGAGCGGAGGACATGCCCCTGTCTGCATCGATGGTGCTGAGATGGAGATGGTCGAGAACATCAAGTTCCTGAGGGCGATGATCACCAACAATCTGTCCTGGTCCACCCACATTGACGATACCGCCAAGAGAGTACAGCAACATCTCCACTTCCTCAGGAGGCTAAGGGAATTCAGCATGTCCATAAAGACTCTTACCAATATTTATAGATGCACCATAGAAAGTGTCCTATCTGGATGTATCACAGCG